CGACTGGAAGTTTGTTCGTTTGGAGCTCTTCCCACTTCTGTATCTTTTCCTCGTCTTCCTTGCCGTTCGACAGCCCGCTCTGCTGGAGGATGGACTGAATCGTGCTTTCGAGATCGTTCGTAGGTGCAGCGGTCGTTGTAGGTAGAAGTGTCTTCTCTCCCATGTCGCCTCCGGTAGGGTTCTGGAGAGGGAACATCAAATGTTCGGCGCGGCGGTTTTGCTTGATCGTGTCGGTCCACCTCTCAAGAGTCTCGTTCGCTTTGGCGTTGGCCGCGGCGCGGTCGAGCTTGTCTTGCTGTCGCTTCGGCAGAGGCGCGTCTAGTTTCCTAGCAATGTCGTTTCGTTTTGAGGATTTGTCGTCTTGCAGTAGCTTGAGAGCCTTCTTCTTCTCCGCGTCGGCGACCTTGGGCTTGAAGCTGAGGAGGTCGACTTTGCGGGAGACACCAAACTCGTCTGGTGCAGCCGACTCATGGACATCTACTCTCCTGCCCTTGGGTTTGTCATCCTCCCGCGAAGCCAACGAAGAGATCAAGTTCTGCAATTGCGCCTGGCGGTCATCCTCATCTTCTTCGTCGGACGAGAGGTCGGATGCGCCATCTGCTGCGGGGTCTTCGCCTTCGCTTGGTTCCGAGTCGCTATCGTCGAATGCGGAGGCCTTCTTCTTCTTCTTCTCTTTTTCCCTTCGCTCCTCAGCCTCATCCTCCTCGTATTGATCCAAGGCGGTAGCCAGATCGATAGCATCTTCGCCAAGATCGTCCTCGTCTTCCTCCTCTCCATCTGCACTGTCGCCCTCGTCGAGATCGATGTCGCCATCCTCGTCCATCATGTCTTGCTCTCGTTTCGACTTCTTTGCCTTTCCCTTGTGGTTCTTGGAACTGCCTCTGAACGTGTAGCCTTCGAAGCGTTCTTCGTCGCTCTCGCCGAACGCCTCGTCCGAGTCAATGCTCTCGTCATCGTCGTCGTCTTCAACGTGGCCCATCTGCCAGGTGTTGCCCTCGGAGTCGCTTCCTTCGTCGTAGCTCTCGTCACCAGACTTCTTCTTGCGCCGCTTGGGCCCATCTTCCTCGTCCTCATCCTCGTCGTCCTCTTCGTCGTCATCGCGCGCTCGCTTCCGGTTGAAGGCGGGGTCGAATTCGCCTAAGCGGTTCTTGCGCACTTTCGCATCGTCGGGGTTCTCGTACTGGGCGATGGAGAAGGCGTCGAGGGCGCGCTTCTGCGCTTTCTTGGGGTTTCGCGACTTCGCATTGCCTTTGCTTGAAGCGCCGCCGCTTTGAATGGAGCTGCGTGCTACTCGGGGCGGCATATTGGCGTTGTGGTTGAGAGGCAAGGCGGCGGAGCGACCTGCAGAACTTCTGGGTTTGCACTTTTTTGACGCACGGGCCACGCCCACCTCCGCTCCAAACTCCGCAAACGCCTCGAAGATTCATGGCGACAATCATCGACGTCGTCGCATCGCTCGCTATAACGGCAGGGTTCAGCTAAATCGCCGCCATGCAGCCCACAGCCTCGCTCCAGAAGATGCTGCGGCGCCTGCCGCTTTCACCCAAACAGGCCGGCAAAGAATACTACAAGGGAAACCGCGTGGGATCCATGGGCACAATCAACCGATACGGAAACTTCACACCCGACTGGAGCAAGATACGGACATATGTGTACCCACTTCACGGCACACATAACATCGAGGTGCGTACGATCATTTGTTTGGCTTGCGACAGCTGGGAAGACACTGTAGAGATCCAATGCTAACATCTGCATAGTTGACACCCTTCGTAGACTCCAGTCTAGAAAAGGTGCGAGGACTCGACGTCGGCAAGGCGGAAAACTACGAAAAGCGATTCACCGGCGAAGACTACCTGAGGGCGTGGAAGCTGGCCGGTGGACACGATCTCGTGGAGACAGGGAGGGAAGCGGTAGCCTCAGGCAGGAACATACCGACACCATTCGAGGAGAGACCTGCAACGAAGTCGTGAAGACGGCCGAGGAGGACTTAGAGCGACTACGATATCTCGGGACCGATGTTGAAAGGGAAACGACATGAAGAAGCGTTGGAACACACCACGATGCTGTGGGGAAAACCTAGTGCCTGCGAAACATTGCGGCGAACACACACGTAGCGGGACGTTCCGCATGGAGTTGCTACAGCGCCGTGTATGAAGGCGTCGAGGGAGCATAGCGTACGTAAAAGCCAGGCGGCCATGATGTTGTATATACTGTACATTACTTGGGTATCATATGCTCCCATCTGACCATATCACTTACACATCACATCATATCACCACACCCCTCATCACCCCCTCCTCAACCTTCTCTCCTAACACCAAAGAAGTAATTCCCCCACTGCTGACTCCCCGCCACCTCCTTCCACCCCAACCCAGGCACATACACAACACCCATACACTTGACATTCCCCCAACCCGGTTGTTTCGCAAACCAACTCCTCAACTCCTCTTCGTTGACGTATTTACTCCACTCATGCGTCCCCTTGGGCACAATGCCCAAAACATCCTCTGCAACCACATTCGTAACTACCCAGCTCGTCCACGTCCGCGCGATGGTGCTCATTATCAACCAGCCACCAGGCTTCACATGCGGGAGGACGTGTTCGAGGAACGGACCTGGCGCGTTTACGTGCTCGATTACTTCGAACAGCGTGACGATGTCGAAGGCTTCTGTGTCTGTTTTCGGACGCGGTAGATCTTCGATGGAGGTATTGACGTATGAAAGTTTACCCGGCGAGGTAAGTGTAGGATCGCGCCTCTTGTGCGCTTCGGCGATGGAGAGGACTTGTGGTGTGGGATCTATTGCTGTGACAGATGTGGTGGTTGGTAGACGCGCGGCTGATTCAGCGAAGATGCCGCCGCCGCAGCCAATGTCTAGATATCGTAGTTTCTCAGACGGGTTGGGTGGGGACGTCGAAGAGCGGCATGAGGTTATGAAGTCGTGGCGGAGCGGGTTCATGAGGTGGAGGAGGCGGGAGGGGCCGTGGGGGTCCCACCATGATGATGCGAGCGCGTTGAAGTGCGATACTTCTGTTGGGTCGACGGTGGAGGTGGAGGTTGGTGTTGGGTTATGGTGTTTGGGGGCGGTGGTGGATATGCATCGCGAGCTTGCTGGAGGTATTCGGCATGGGGATTGTTTGGTTGCTGTTCGACATGATGAGGTTTGTGGTAGTCCTCTCCGTATTGAGCGCAATGCTCTAGCTGTGGATTGTGGTTTCATAGCGACAATCGAAGCTTGTTCGTGCCAGTGAGACGCGGTGCACGTTGATGTCACCAAAACTTTGGATCTGCGGCCTCGGCCATCATCAATTCTTAGTCATCCTTTATCGATAAAGTGATCCGACAACCCATCATGTTCATGCTTCATTTCATCTTTGATAATGTCCGACGATGGCTTGCTATTTTCTTGTCAAGTCTATCAGATTGACGATAGGTCCAAGCCTACCACTTTTTGACTTTGTTCGGCACATCCCCTGCTCATACAGCCAGGCGCACTTCATCTTCTAATCATCGATCGTCACCGTCGTCGGAGATGAACATGACGTACATGATGCAATAATTGGTAACGGCAAAACGAATTCCTGAATGACGAAAATTTGTCAAACAACGTCAGCATGTAGAGCTAAAGGTCATTCGCTGATGCACATGTGTGTCGCGCTTACCTGGCAGACTTCGCCTGGATGAGGTCTTGTCAAGTCTAACCTATCTAGGATGAAAGGCGCGTCTGTATACAGCAAGCATACTTAAAGTCGCGCCATCACAACTTCAAACTTCATACCCAATCCGCTCTTCTCACTTGCAACTTTTCTCAAGAGCACTACTCTATTCGAAGCATCCAACATGTCTCATGGAGTATGGACACCAGAAAACTTTGGCTGGATTGCCGTCCCAAGGAACCGTTCCAACATCCCATCTGCTCAAGATGTTGCTGCAATGAACAATGAGTTCTACTCAGACCCCATGGACGCCTGGCCCGTGACCGATGTGACAGACAAGGCACGCAAGTATGCACAGGAGCATCTAACCAAGGAGACCTACAATCACAGCATGAGAGTATTCTGCTACGGTACGTACTACTCAACACCAGCCTTCCCCACCATCACGGTGTCCGCGCCACATGTGAATTCTACAGAACCACTAACACCGCATGACAGGCATCTACATCATCCAACACTACTTCCCAGAATACCATTCCAGTGCCTTCTTCGAAACCTGGGCACTGACCTGCCTATTCCACGACATCGGCACGACCGATGAAAACATGTCGAACACGCACATGTCCTTCGAATTCCAAGGCGGCCTCCTCGCTTTGACCAAGTTGCAGGAGTTCGGCGCGCACAAAATCCAAGCAGAGAGCGTTGCCGAGGCCATCATCCGCCACCAGGATCCCGGTGAGACGGGCACGGTTAGTGCAATGGTGCAGATGATACAGATTGCTACTGAGTTCGGTAAGCCATACTCCTGCTGTTGTTTGTACGCTCAATTGACTGACATTACTTAGACAACATGGGACTACAACCGCATCTCATAGGCCGGGAGGTTATCGAACAGGTAACGGCACAACTGCCTCGGTTGGGCTGGTCGGGATGTTTCTCAAGCACCATTCTGAAGGAGATTAGATTGAAGCCTTGGTGCCATACTACGGCGTTGGAGAATTTTGCTGAGTCTGTGGCGGGGAACGAGCTTATGAGACCTTTTGAATGAGTGAGGGTGAACAAGAGCAACTCCTGAGTGCATAGCTCATAATTTATTGCGAATGACAGCTCAAATCTACGGCGCTGGCTGGTTCGGGTAATTGTTCTGCGAGGGTTGTTTTAGTTATCAAATAAGACGGGTAGCAAGCTCAAAAATACTATCAGCATTGATGAAGTCCCATCTCTACCCGAACACAGCTTTCCCTAGCGATATTAGAGTGCACGTCTAACAAGTCATCACACCAACAGCGCAAGAACCAGCGCTGCGTCGTTCTCACTGGACCCTACACACGTCTCTCGAGACACCTCAAGGAACAGCAGTGCTGGAAGCCGCATCAATGATGGCAGCCAACTCAGGTTGCTCGATTTCCCTTGCGTACTCTGCTGCTGTCTGACCGCGGATGTCACGATAAGATGTGTCTGCGCCATGTCTCAGCAGAACTTCCAGCTGATCTTCCTTGACCCAATGAACGGCGTGACACAATGGTGAACCCCATCTCTCTGTGGGATAGTTGATGTCTGCGCCTTGTTCAATCAGTAGTTCTAGAGTCGCCGTGCCTCTAGACCAGTCGTGATCACTGATAGCGGCAAACATCGCTAAAGGGTCCATATCAGCCCCATGAGACAACAGCATCTTAGCCGGAGAGGGATCAGAGAGCTTGACCGCCGCAATTAGCGGAGTGGAGCGCTCGGCACTGAAGCCGGGTTTTCGCTTGGCCTCTGCGTTTGGGTTCGCGTCATGTGCGAGTAGCCAACGGAGTAACGTTTCGTTCTCAACGGCTGCTCTGATTTCAGATGAGTGAAGGGGCTAGAAATTTGGCACAGCATACACTTACTCAAGTGCTGTGGGTCCATATTCCGTGGAATTGACGTCCCAACCGTTTTCGACCATCAACTGAAGCACGGCAGGATCCCCTCGATCGATAGCCGCGTAGAAAGACTCTTCCGTTATCTCAGCACCCCATTTGACGAGGCCATCAATTGTTTCCATAGATGCTTCCGACATGGCAAATATAAGGCATCTATCCAACTCCCCTTGTTCAAGAGGTGGATGTTGCGATAACTCGTTGTTTAATCTGGTCAAGTCGTCAGATCGGATGATCTCTCGCAGATGGTTAGACAATGGTGGCCACATATTTCGCGAATGGCTTCGTGATAGCACAGCTGCGTCTACAGTGATGTTGGTCGGTATGATGATGGACTGCATGAAATCAGAGGCGTGGTTGCATCTCTATGTATATCAGCAAGTGGTACCTAAGTATTGCGGCGTAGCAGCGCTTCGCGTGGCGTCGCTTCCAGGATTGCTCACAAAGGTGCGTCATGCATCCAACAACAACCGTAATCATCCCCAGATAATCCCAATAGAGTCGAACCCCGGATAGCCTTATGAAACAGTGATCTTAACTCAATAGCAGCTATTCCGATTGCCGTACACCATCGAGGTATCTTTGCACCCTACCTAGGTAGCGACTTAATGAATGTAGTCATCTAATCCTCCTGCCTAGCCTCCGCCTCCTCCAAGATCTTGACCAACTCCGGCTGCTTTTTCGCCTTCGCAAACATCGCGGGCGTATCCTCACTCAACCTAGACCCTCTCCTCGGATCAGCCCCATTCTCCAATAGATATACCAGCTTCTCCTTTGCGCCCCAATTGACAGCATGGTGGAGTGGAGTCGCCCAGAGACTCGCCACATAGTTTACATCGGCACCACGCTCTACCAAAGCGATCGTAGTAGCCATACCGTTTGCTTGACCCCTGACCCCAATAGCATGGAAAAGTGCCAGCGGATCCATCTCAGCCCCGTAAGCTAGTAGCAATTTGAGAGGCGCGTCATCATCAAACTCTGCTGCGGCAGCGAGTGGTGTGCAAGGCTGTAGACAGGACGCGCCTCGCCTCACAGATTTGGTGTTCGTATTGGCGCCGTGATCCAAAAACCAACGCAGTAAACGTTCATTGTCCAGAACGAGCCTGAAATTGATTAGCTATGGCCAGACTGATGCTGAATAGTTTACTCACTGCACAGCGGGTAGTTCGAACTCCGTAGAATCGACATCCCAGCCATAGTCGATGAGTTTCTGGAACACGGCGGTTTCCTTCCTTTCAAAAGCTTCGAGGAAGGCTAGGAATGAGAGTGTGGCTCCATGTTTGAGTAGAGTATCGATCATCCCTATGGTGCCACTGGGCATGGATAGTAGGAGGCACTCTTGTAAGATATCGTAGCTGGGTGGAGGGTGACTTTCCAGCCACGCTCCAATCCCATCGACATCGTCAGAGCTGAGGGCGTTTTGTATGGCCACAGGTGGACTGATCATTTTGTGGTCAAGAACAGTCGTCCCATGATCGCATCCAAATTAATATCTGCCAGTATTCCTTCAGCTCCAGAAATGTGAGTCATCATCAATTCAACCACGCCGTACACCTGCATACCTGTCCTGCTTCCACTAGGCTGCCACCTTGGCAAAGCCTTCTCGTGATCAGCTTCCAGCCTTACTGAATCTATGTAAGACTGCCGCGTGAACAACTTTACTCGTTCTTTCTTGAACTCAACCCAATATGCAATCATATTCTTCTTCAGACCCTCTATCCCTCGAACTCGTTTCCCTAATCCGGGCCAACGATGTTCCAGGCCTCCACGCCAAATTCTCCAAGCGCGGCCGCCCTAAGAAAGATACGCGAGCCATCACTGAAGAAGATAAAGTGTACTGTCTCCAAGTAGCCATGCCAGAGGCTTCTCTAGAGGTCATCGATACACTCATCGGGTATGGAGCGTATCTGAATTGGAAGTCTTTTAGAGATGCGCTTGAGAGGGGCGATGGTGAGACGGAGTTACTAGATTTGATGCTGAAGAGAGGGTGGACGCTGGGAGGACTATGGTATGGAACAAGTGTAGTTGAGTAGGTGTATTCCTGAAAATGTTGCAGCACGCTTTTGTTACTTGATGCCGTTGCTGAGAGCCCTTTCTCTCATTCCCTTCATCTCTTCTTTATCAATATCTGCGCTTACAAGATATGCCGGGCAAGACGACAGGCCCATTTGACTCACAGGCAGAGACATTGAACTCTTCTCAAAGAAGCTTAATGCTTGAAAACCGAAGGCTTACGCTGACAACCATACAGATCAGCCATCCGGCACGAAAACACTCTCCGCTGGCTTCTCGTCCATGGCGCAAACCCGAACATAACGTCAAATCCCAGACTGGTAGGTTCCTGCGCCGATCGCACAACCCCTTTAGCAAGAGCTGCTGGATCTGGACGAGTAAACGCCATGGAGATACTGCTCGACCACGGTGCAACGCTAGATCCCAACGCCATACATCGCGCGATCAAAGGGCAAAAGACAGAGATGTCAGCCCTGAGGTTCCTCATCGCGCGAGGCTTGGATGTAAATCGAAGTAACCTCAAGAGAAGCACGCTTCTAAACCAAGCAGTGTATCACAGGAACGTGGAAGCGGTCAAGGTCTTGTTGGAGGCAGGTGCTAATCCCAACATTGTGACATCTGGTTCCACAGCTGCGGACTATGCACGGAAAATAGGCCGGGTGGCTGCAGCAGAGGTTCTGGAGGCGGCAATGCCGAGGAGGAGTAGGAGACTTAGAGGGGTGAGACCACTTGCGTAATGCTGAGAGGGGCTGTACAGTAGAAGGAAGATGCGGGATGGACAGCTGTCATATGTAAGCAGTAGCGTCATAAAGTACTTCATTGAATACAAGGCTATAAAGGAAGCTGGGGTTGTGACCGTAGCACCATCCAACAATCGACCCTACGATTTGCACACGAACAGTGTATTCCACAGCCGTTAACCATTTTCGTCGTTTCGCCATTTCGAACGCCGATATGCCCACCCTTCCAAATATCATGATATCGTTGCAAGGTTGCTAAGTGCATGCTCAACGAGTGACTGGCCGTGCCAACATGAGAAAATAAATGGACCCAAAAGAAGCCAAACATGTACGCCTTAATCGTCATCCCATGCAGATGTGCGCCGTGTTCATCCGAGAAGTTTGTCCTTGGGTAGACGCTTGAGGGCTGCCTCAACGTCCTTGTGATCAACGACCACACCGCTCTCAGAACAGCGTGCTTTAGCGCGGAGCTCTGAGCAGAGATTGTCGATGTCGATCGTGCCATCCTTGAAGTCTGGGCGACTTGAGAGCTTGTCCCTGTGTGGTGTTAGCGTATCAGTTCTCATGCGATTACAGGGTTGTACTGACCATATCTTGTGACAGTTGAGCAGCGAGTTGACATCCTCGCCAGGGACCACCTCGTCCTCACCATCTTGTATGCGCTCAATTTCTTCAAGAGGATTCGTCTTCTGCACAGCAGGTGTGTCGCCGAAGTGGAAGGGGCTACCGTAACCAGTGTTGAGGAAAGCATCATTGAAGAAGCCACCAGTAAAGTCGCCGTCACCCACAATCGCATTCTGGGTATCGCGGTACTCTCCGAAGAGGGTCGGGTCGAATTGGCCGCCGTTTTGGTTTGCAAAGTAATCGATGCCGTTGACGGCAGGTGTGGGGGATTTGGCGGCTAAGACTGCAGGAGAAGGTTTGTCGTCAGATTGGGACATCGCACGAGGCATGGGATTACGAGGGTTGCCGCAGGCCATGTTGAGCTTTTCGCAGAAGAGAACCTCACCTTCGGAGTTTCCATGACACACATAACCGTCTTTGATCGTGTCCAACTGCTGATTGGGCGAGGTATGACTTGGCTCTGGTGATGTCCCGCAGGAGGAGTCTTGGTTGGTAGGCGATGTGGAGGAGTTGGACGGCGAGTCTGAATGGCTTGACGAGCCACTGTTGAACTGGAAGACACGCGATTGCGAACGAGTGGAGTTCTCCGTGTTACTGCGTGAGGGTTCGTTGTTCGCTTTGTTGTTGTTGTCGAATCCGAAAAAGCCGTTGAGACTGCCGGAACGTTGCGCACTTCCTGGGCCCATGGCGCCAGGGGAGTCTGTGAGCGAGCCATTGGCCCTGCTGGTAGGGCTAAGGGCGCGTCCGGTGCTGTTTTGGCGACCAGATGCATTCGACGAAACCGACGTGTTCTTGTTCTTTGCTAATGGACCGTTGTCTAGTAGCTGAGCGCCAGGAAGTCCGCCAAAACGCGGGAACTCGAAGGAGAAGTTGTTGTTGTTGCTATTGTTGTTCAGCATAGAGCTGAAGCCTCCAGCAAGAGCGGGAGTTCGAGACACTCCGGTGCTGTTAAGCGATAGTCGCTTCCGGTATTCGCGAAGTTCCGTTTGCAGCCGTTGCACTTGTGCTCGCAAGAGACCGTTCTCGTGGTTCGTGGCATCGGAAGCCTTCTCAAGTTCCTGTACCTTGGTCTCGAGGTCTTTCAGATGCTTTTCTTTGCGTTCTCGGAACGCTCGTTGGGCCGCGCGATTCTGGGCTTTCCGCTTCTATGCCTGCTGTCAGTTGGGCCAACGTGAGCATGCTCCATGAAACCTACAGTCGTGGGCTCCGAGGTCAATGGTTTGCGACCTGGCTTCTTGGCTTGCTTATCTTCGCCTTCCCTGCGCTTGCCGCCGCCCTCATCATCGTCATCATCACCGTCATCCGGACTCTTCCGCTTTTCGCTCGAATCGCCGGGGGTATCTCCAGGCAGTGAGCCGATCATGTCGCCGTCTGCGTTGTCGAAATCGAAGCCATTATCGCCGTCCAGGTAGTCGACAAAGGGGCTCTCTTCCATACTTCCGCCGTTGAAGCCGTTCGCGGGTGTTTGTTGTTGAGGCGACGTGAAGTATGCGGGATCGAGGCTGTCAAGAGGATACTGGAATTGGGAATTGTTCATAGACTGCTTGTTGTTGGAGCCGCTGTCTAGGCCGGCGGAAAAGATGTCGTTAGGGTTCTGGTTGTTCGAGGCCAGGGCCGCGAGGAGGAGATCCTGCTGCGTCGCATCCAGGTAGAAGGGCGCACCATTCTGGAAATCGTTGGTAGTTCCAGCCATTGCAACTAGTGTCGCGAGGTAGAAGGTGGTTGGCGTTGTGTATAGCTCCGAGGAGAGCTTGCGGGTTGCTTACCGCAGCTGCGCAGCGTAGCGGAAGTTCGGAGGGGCTGGCTATCGGTCAACCACGTGCGATAACCGTTTTCGCCACCCGGACACCGCAAAATGTGGAGGAGCGGGCGCGTTGGGGTTCTGAGAGGTGGTATGAATGACGCAAGATGTTTGGGGTTGATCTGGGTAGCTCGTTCAGCGGGCGGAGGCGGGCCAGTAAGCCGACGAAGGTTTCGCGGGTATGGGACGGCTTGTGCAGAGGGCAGAGCGCTCTGTGAGTGCAGCGCACTTGACGACGGCTGCAGAGGGGTATGCGAAGTCTTTTGTCAAGAAATGGGCAGTTTGAGCGAAAGGTGGTCAGATGGTGAAGGAGCAATGGTGCAAGAAGTCAATTCGCAGCCTCACAGCCTGGAAGCCAGATCCAATGCGGCACCTGGGTACCCTAGCTGGTTGGTTCGGGCGACTTTTCGGAGCAACGCCGTTAAGCCTGTCAAAAAGCGGCCGACAACAGGTGAACGGATGATCAGCGTCAGTGATAGGTTGCGGCCGAGAGTGTGACTGTTCTCGCAGAAGCACGGCGTCAGAGAAGGGCGCAGCAGACGGCAGGCTCAGCATGCGCTTCCTGGTCTGATTGATAAGCACAAAGCTTGGTGGGGTAGGGGAGAACGCCATCGAAGACCACCACACCGGACGCTGATCACCGCGTCCGGTGCCTGGTCCTGCAGCAGATTTGAGTCTCGCCAGATTCTCGAGTGCTGTCTGCTGGAAGGAGACTGGCTGGTTATAACAGAATGGGGGTTTTCGCTGCCACTACGCTCATTGGCGTCATGCGTCATGCTGAATAAGAGTTGCCAGTGCGTCTCTCGCTGTCTACTTCCGAAGACGGCGCTTTTCTGGAAAGAAGAATACTAATCATCTCGCTGCGTACTTGCGAGGTCCCTGCAACTCGGCCATAGTTGATCATGGATACTATCTGTCATAAACGTCGGTGAAGCAGCGTAGACTGGTGCCAAGCATGAAGATGCGGCAGGAACGATCAAATGCAATGGCTGCATCTGCAGACGTTAGGTGACGTGAGCAGTGAGTTTGGGTGACGGTGGTGACGGCCCCAGTGCCATTCGACCTTCACGCACGCTTGTCTCACTTATAGGGCTGAAGCGCGGAGAAAAAAAGGGTCTAGGC